AAACCATCAAATTCCCTGGGGCAAGTTCATAGGATTGCAAGTGTTCAATGTATTGTGCTTTGTGTTCACGGCTAAGAAGAACAACCTTGTTATTTACAAGAAGAATCTGTTCAATTTTGCAGAACTGAGGCAGTTCTCCCACCTGTCCCACGGACACAAACATTCCTATATCATATTCTGCTCCATCAGTGTTGACACTTGATGTCACGCATCCGCCGAGTGCCTCGTTGGATTCGGACTCGATCTCTGACTCTGACTTCCACACAGCCAACCAACGAAGATAGACAGCCGGACTCAAACTCCCAGAACTCTCCGGAAGGTCACATGACTCCCCACCTGACCTCAAACTCATATCCACGTTCGCGATCTCCTGAATACTAATGAATGTCACCTGTGTTTGATCATATGACTACTATAGTGTAGTATTTAAGCCCGGGCTTTAGACTAGGTAACTTGAGAAGTATTGCATCCGTTTTTCGTGATCTACTGAGCGTTTATTTCTGAATCTGATTATCGTGTATGACCTTTGCCTTTGTTCTTTGACTTTGTCTTTTGGCCCAGCCCTTTGGATTTTTTACCTGATTTTGGATTTTGGACTTAGACCCTCTGCTTGTGTTTTTGACCACGTTTTTGCCTTCTCCTGTTTGGACTGTTTGCCTGGTGTATATTTGTTTTGTTTCTCGTCTGCTTTCTGGAATTGACCCATGCCTGTTTTTTGACCACAAACTTGCACTGCACTTCTACTAGTAACGCCTCCTTTGTAGTTTATATCTGCAAGCGTCTGATTCTGTTTGATTCTTCACACTTGATGTGTTGTAAATCATGTTGCTGTCTGTTTTGTGAGCAATGTATGCCCTTGCGACATCAGGAAGCACTGAGACCATCACAGAGGAGACATTAGATGTCTGCTGGTGTGGTTTAAAGAATGATGGGGGACTGAGATGGTATGCCACCATGTACTGATGTCGGTTTGCTAATGTGTTTGCACATTCTTAAAGTTTTGTGTGTCCTGAACAACACGCTTGAAAAAGCGATGTTTGCCCTCAAATCTCATTGTCCACCGGTGGACAAGTGGCCCAAAACAGCGTATGAGATCTGGATAATGTTCAATGTAGTGATGTTTAGGGCGGAGTGTGAAATGAGGAAAAACCTCCTGCAGCACTTGTCTATGGTCCTGTATTTTCGTCTGCACATACTGGATAGTTTCTTCTGTAAATATCGAGGACAGCCCCAACTCAACTACCACTTTCAAATCCATGAGTACTGTCCATGCTCCATCTCCCTCTGGAATTTTATCACCAATAATTAAAGGGAGCAGTCTAAGCAATGTAGCATTTTCATGACCAGTCCTGCCGATTGTGTTCTTTGCAGCAAATGTCTTCGGGATAAGCTTTGATTTGTCAACCTTGTCTGTGTGCTGGTATGGAAATGACACAATTCTTTTGTTTAAATACTCAAGAGTAAAGTATTTGCAACGGATCATCTCTCCAATACACAGGGCAAGCTCTACGGGCACAATGCCCTCAAAAAGATCATGCAGGGCATCAGGTGGGAAACCAGTGATTGTATGAAAATATTCTAAACTCTGGTTAAGAACACAATCTCCTTGAACACCACACTGATCCTGATTCTCCCCATGCATCACAGCTTGCACATCACAGTCATGGCTGGCTTTTGTCCTCAGACTAAATTCCCCACCTCCTATTTCGTAAGACTGAATTTGATCTCGAGTAGCTGTGCAGAATCTGCAAAAATATTTGGCTCTGAAAGACTTTGTAAAGGCTGCCAACGCATGAGCTGCAAGATTGTCAGACACCACACACATGATGGTGCCCCGAACTGCCTTCCCAATGGACTCAATGAACACGCCATCTTGTTCAAGAGTACTGATGTCTTTTAACAGAGGACCAAGTACTCTTTCATAGCCAAATTTCTGAATGTCAGAAACTTTACACAATGCTGCTAGCTGAATCACATTAAAGGCTGATCTGTATTTACTAGGAAGATCAGCAAGTACCCAGTACACTGCACTTAGCTTGTGGATTTTCCTTGATGTGCCAAGTGGGTTTGCTATTTCAAGATCATCAGTGTACAAAAGGAGAGGTAGCGTTAGCTCCTCTGACGACAACAGTTTATTATCTTTAAAATATGACCCATCTTGGTGGCTCACATAATGGCCTTTAAGTGCTGTCTTTGTTTCTTTAATTTTGTCAAGAATATCAGTTTGTCTGAACACTTCCTGGATCATCTCAAGAATGGAAACGTGTACAACTGTGTGCCCTGGCTCTAGCACGTACTGTACAGGCTTTACTACAGGGAAATTTTTCTCAATATAAGTTTTTCGTCTCTTGGTCGAAGAGAAGTCTTCACCTTTAGCTGTTGCACTGGCAAAAATATTACAGTCCATAACAGCACTGACTACCTGATCAAGAGATGCTTCAGTAGCAGCAATGTCATGACTCTGTAAGACATCTCTAATAGTCTTCTTGACGAGGGGTTGGGACAAGGCAAATATTTGAGTCAAATGTTCTACTATTTCCTGAGTTGCCATGTTGGATACATGAAGGACAGTTTGCATCTTTAAAAATAATGATGCTATATTATTGCGCAACTGGGCTCTCAAATTATCAGTGTCACATTGACTCACAACCTCAGAAAGGTCAAAGAAAGATGAGTTCTCACACTGAGCAGGTCCTTCATCATCACATTCAGCAGATGTTGTTACTGGAGCACCACCATTCTCTACTGACACGACATTATCATCATAGTCTGAACTACCCACATGTTTTCTACTTTTATGTGCATTAAATGGAAATGCACATTTGTGCGGTAATTACAGTTTTTGAATGGGCATGCTACCATCTCATGTTTCTGTAAATGACTCAAATGACTAAACAGCACTGCTTCAGAAAAGGGCTGCTTACAGGTACACATGAGGCATGAAAACATTGCATGTGCTTCTACTTCTCTATCTGATTTGGCAGCATCCTTATGAGACCGTGACAAATGAGCTTTCAATGCATTAAATGACTGAAAAGTACAAATACACTCATCATAGAGACATGGCAGAGGGCTAATTCTTAATTATAATGACTGTGCTGCAAATGATAGTGCATAAATAATTTTGCCCTAGCATCTAAGGACACGGAACACAACTTGCACTTCCACTCCATTTAATGACCTGCTCCCTGAAAACCTAACACTCTTTTAAGAAATGGGCATTGAGTTCAGCATTAGCACTGCACAAAAAAAATTAATTAATTACAATTAAGTTAATTACAATAGTGTTCATATAAGCAGGCTTAACTTTCAGAAGTGTTGCACTGTCCCATCAAATGTATGCAAGCAAAGATTGGCTAACCTTTTGCAAAACTTGCTGTTGAAGGAAATTGTTGGTAGATGTCAATATGTCCCTGCAGAAAAAGAAGTTTTAAACAATTAATAACAATTCCAATGATCTCGGTTAATTAATTTCCAAAATTTGATGCTTGTAATTTTTAAACGCAAAACTGAACTAACCAAACTAATTTTACATGCTGTATTAACATTCAGCAGCACTTGGTGTGGTACGAGACTCACACACAATACCAAAATTAAAAAAAAAACAAAAAAAAAAAACAGAGGGATAATGTTCACGTTTAAGTGCACAAACAAGGACAGGATATAATATATAATGAGCAATTAACTCGGTGCTCGTACAGATGTGAAATTCTCGACCCTTGTCGTGTGGCAAGCTGGACTTAAAAATTGCGCCTTTTTTGTATTTTACCAAACATTCAGACATGCTCATGAATTAGCAGTTAAGCTATAAACGATGCTAACGCTAACTAAAAACTAACACTAACTACCTTCCCAGCTTTACCAGCTAAATTTATCAGCCCTGCAGTAATGTTACCTTGGCTGCCAACAGACTAGTAAGTGTTAACGGTAAAAAAAATCAAAAGCGTTTTACTTTCAATACCAAAATGCATATTAGAAGGAATACAAGACTTTGGAAAGTAAAACTTTGCTGAATCTTTTTTGACGACTGACTGGTAAAGCCTGTTGCTATTAGCCTGTTGTTATTAGAATTATGATAGGTTAGCTTAACGTTAACGTAATTTTTCCAAGCTGGCGTCAGATACTGATACAGGCACAAATCCTAGTTTGAAAAATAAAGACCCCCAAACCGTTTTCTTCACAACATTAACAACTACTTACCCGTTTTGCTGCAAAACTCTTCTCTCCGGTAACGTCCAGCCATCTTGACCATTTGGGAACGGTAAATCCGGGGCACAAGGCACGTTGATGACGTCAGACGTTGCATGTCTTTGTTTACTCATAAATTAGAATGTAGGTGACAATGTTTACTCATAAATATATATTCTTGTCAAATTAAAACGTAATGATAAGTTAAGATAATGCAAAACTTTAATGTTGAGTTAACTAAATAACAGGTTTTGATTGCTACACCAATAAAGTTTCTAAGTTAGTAGTACTGTTCGGGTTTACAGTGTGTGCAATCCACTGCAGATAAACACCTAGCCCTTCAGTACTATTAGTTATAAGTCAATATTGTTGCTATGGTAAAGACATCACTTGTGGTGAGAAAATGTGTGTGTGTGTGAATTTACCGCTAGCAGCACACTGTATTCCCTCACAAGGGCCATCATTTGCTGTCTCCCTTCTCCCCTCATTACCCCACACTGTGGCAACCAATAGACTCTCATGAAAGAAAAAAACTCACTAAAAATCTACATTTAACAGACAAATTTAGCTCATAGCAGAAGCTAGCCAGAAACCCAGCTCAAGTTCTCAATGTTCTCTCCCTTCTTTCAGTCATACTCCAACCATATATTAAAGATATGACCAAACTAGGAAACCACAGTATTAACACTATATAAATCACATTTACAAGCTTCAAACAGGCTACTGGAGGTCAGGCAGACTTGTAAACCTTCTATAGAGACAAACATACAGAAAAAACTACAAACATGTCTTTTTCTTATTTGTTTTAGCAGCAGAAAACTGGTAATGGCTTCCCAAATTGCTAAGACCTGTCAAAGCCTCACCACAGCTGAGGAGATGAGAAACCAAACCAAGCTTGTGATGCAGCCTTATGCTAACTGGGAAAAATACCTGACTCCTGCTCCACTCTCCATAGCCATCCTGGGAGAGCTGGTCTATATTTCATCCAAAACAGATTTCTCCATCAACAAAAACCCACCAAAGGACGGCTACAAGTACATCAAATACCCAGATTCATTTCGTGCCTGTCTCATGCAAGTGTGTAACTCTGGCTGGTGGGCTTTCAATGAGGCCCACAAGAACATGGATCAGATTCGGCTCCACACCATGGCTGTCCCAGACTATATGAAGTCTGCAGTAAAAATTCTGTTCCAAGGTGATGATGAGCTTGTTAAAGCCCATCTTCCTGACCAGCTGGAGAACATTCGTGTTATAGCAGATGACTGTCTTGCACTGGCTGAATCAACAGAAAAGCGGTTCACTGACGTCTTAAATATTATCCAAGAGCTGCTGGAAGCCTGTATAAATGCTGAGCACTTTTATGGAGAAGAGCTGGAAGCAATCAAGAAGAAGCTGGAGGAGGCCAAACTGAGAGCACAGACATCAAAAGAAGTCAATGAACGTATGCAGAAGGCAGTGAAGGCCATGGAAAAGGAGCTGCAGGAGGCACAAGAGAACTACTCAAAAGCACTGGACTCCCTGCCTAGTGGTTGGGAAATGATTGCTATGGATTTTGTTGCTGCAACAGCCGAAAGCATTATTACTCTGTTTAATGGAATGATAATCTTTTATAGCATATATAGGAACGTGAACATATCAAATGCAACAAACAAGAATAGTTCTGCAGATCCAGTTGATGAAATAAACATCTACAGCAAGTCTGCAGAAATCCTGTATTGTGCAGAGATTTTTCTGCAGTATGTGCATGAGAAAGACATCGACTGGAAGGGCTTGTATGACCAGAAAAAGAAAGCTACAAGAACAGATTTTTTGAAAGACCAATTTCAGAGAATCCTTGCCAATATGGAAAAAATCTCAGAATGTGAACCAAAACAAAGTGCCAAGGAGTTATGTGAAGAGGGCATAAACATCTCCAAAGAACTGGCATCATATGCACCAGATGGGAAATGTGAAGAAGCCAAAACAGAGGAGCTAATTAAGAAAATCAGAAAACTGACTGAATCAGTCCGCAGTTTTGACTGCAAGAGCAAAAATGTCACAAAATCTCCTTCCCTGATTCCAAAACCAACAATGATGTTTAAGGAGGAAAGTAAATCTGAAGGCATGAGTGCTTCAGGAAGGGCAACAGAGAATGCCAGGTTCCGCATAGAGCAGAGCCGAGCTCAACTGAACAACACCAGAGAGATCTATGAGAAGAGTGTGGAGAACATGGAGAAAAACCAAAAGGAACTGACTGAAATCCTGATCACCATGAGGAACTGTGAAGTCAAAGAGATAGACTTTAACACCACCATACAAATGCTGGTCAAAGGGATGGATGCCATGGGGAGAGTGAAGGAGCAGTGGGAGAAGATGGTGCGCTTCTTTCAGATGGTGTCCAACATTGTGAAAATCAGCCTGAGCAAAACTCTGAAAGGTTTTGTCTCCACATCTGAGAAGACTCAGTCACTTTCCTACAACTCAAAGCTCTTCTCCAAAGACCTGCTCTACAGTCAAGCATTTCAGGCCACTAACATCGCCAGCCTCGTCCACATGATCTCAGCGACCTACACTGAAGTGTCTGACAAGTATCTCATGGATCGTGTCAGCTCACTGGGGAAACTTATGGCCATGGACAAGGAAAAACCAGAGTTTGAGCAGGAGCGTCTGCAGTTACAGAACTCCTGTGATGAAGCTCAGAAAGGTATTTTATGTCTTGTCCTTCAGAACAAAGACAAATTTGAAAAGAACAGTAAATCAAGACTGGAGAAGATTGACAAAGAGTTGCTGGCCATTCTTCCCTCTGCTACTCCAGAAGAGATGAAGAGCATCCAAGCAGCTGTTAAAAGTGGATTTGATATGAAATTGGAAGATGATTACTGCTGAGTGAATTCACAGCATTTAGCATCATCAGCTAATATGTTCACTGAAGAAAATGATAATTACTGTGATTTGCATTCCTTTTTTACCTTATTAGTTTTCTTTTGTAGTAGACAAAGTCTGAAACTAAAATTAAGCTGCCTTTTTTGCTGTTATCCCATATACAAAGTTGCTTTTTTTTTCCTTTGGTGTCTAGTGTGTTTGTGAGGCAGCATAATAATCACAATAAACTGGAAGACAATTTTTTTTTTTTTATAATGCATACTTAGAAATTATATGGAAAAAAACAGGTACCTTATAGTGACTGTCAGACAGTTGCAAATCAATCTCTGGCATTGATGACTGCCTCACCGTTCTTCGTTATATTTTCATAATCTTCTATTAAAATGATCAGTATTAGTTTACTGTAGGCCAGTGACTTGTTCATAAGTCGTTTATAACAACTCTCAAAGACCTACATAAATATTTATGAACACTTGTCTAACGGCAATCATTTATTATAAAGATTGCAGTTGCCTGTTTTGACCTTACATTGTAGTTGCATGTCAGATGCCTGCAACATCATTTCCATGCAACTTGACAGTTATGTGAAGCGGTTTAAAAACAATCAAAGTTGCTCTCAATACATTCAATTACTCCACTAGTTTGCAGCTGAGCTTCAAGTAAATTGCACGGAGCTATAGATTATGCTCAAGCGCAATTTATTCTTCATGTGGGTTTCAAGCAACTAAAGTTGCATCAAAGTTTCATCATGCTAAGCCAGCTATAGATGTGTCAGAAATTAGTTACATTTTATTAATTAAAAATGCACAAGGAGTAAAATTAGTGTTTGGCATAAATACTTAAATATGCATTCTAACAGCATTCTGACAATATTCTTTATTACTTGTGTTCAGCTAAAGTTATACATTATTCTGTTTGCATTAACAATAAAATAAATACAATCTTTTTTCATCATCAAACTGACTGAATAATATATTATTATATTATATATTTTACTGTTATATTTGTGCCTCTGTTGAGAGTGAAACAGTTATTTATTTTGGGGGACAATTTACTATCACCACGCACCATTTAGTGGGTTAATGTCTCAGTCACCAACCATCATATCCCACTAAGTCTTTTTTAAACCATGTTGAAATAGCCGAGGAATGAGAAATTAGTTTTAAGTGAATTTACATAATCTGCTTTAAAAACAAAAATTTAGACTGGCATGAATTCCAGGTGGTGTATGCAGGTCTGGTGCATGGCCATGCTGGTTGATCAGCATACCAGCATTGAGCACACAACATATGCTAGTTTTGTTGGTGACCAGCTATGCACGGTAGAATATTCATTCATCAAATATACATCCCTCACTATGATACATGAAGATATATAATGAAGATGTTTTAATCACCAAAGAACTGCATTTGATTAGACTGGACTAGATTTGGTTTAGGCAAAACCATTCTATATTTTAAAAACTGCTCAATAAACTGAACAGAAGGCACATTTATAAGGCATTTCTTATTGTTGTTGTATCCAAACTGTATTACAACCCCATTTCCAACAAAGTTGGGATGCTGTGCAATATGTAAATAAAAACAGAAGGCAATGATGTGCACATCATTTAAACCCCACATTTAACTGAAAATGTTAAATAGATAACATATCAAATGTTAGAATTAATAGATTGTATTGGTTTTTGAAAAAGATATGCCCATTTTAAATTTGTGGAAATCACTGCATGGGCTCAGGCACACCTCCCAAAATCTTTGTCCGGGTAACACAGTGCACAGTTCAAAAGCCAGCATCTGTGATGGTAAGGAGGTGCGTTGCACATGGCATAGGTGACTTGCACATCTGTGAAGGCACCATTCATGCTGAATGATATATACAGGTTTTGGAGCAACATATGCTGCCATCCAGATGACGTCTTTTTCAGGAAAGATAATATTTCAGCAAGACAAAGACACACTACATTCTGCATGTATTACAACAGCATTACACTGTAATAATAGTCTGGGTGTTAAACTGTCCTGCCTGCAATCCAGAACCTCTCACCCACTGAAAACATTTGGTCCATCATAAAATGAAAAATGCGACAAAGGAGACTCCAAACAGAGCAGACAAAATTCTATATCAAGCAAGAATGGGGAAAAAAATCACTTTCAAAACTACAGCAGTTGGTCTCCTCAGTTAACAAATGCTTACAGAGTGTTGCTGAAAGAAGAGATAATGCAGCACAGTGGTAAATATGCCCTGACCAAACTTTTTTGAAATGTGATGCAGGCGTCAAATACAAAATGGGCATATATTTTTTTAAAAAAACAATACAATTTCTCAGTTTTTACATTTGATTAGTTCTCTTTGTACTATTTTCAATTAAATCTAGGGTTTAAATGATTTGCACATCATTGCATACATTTTCAACAGCTTCCCAATTTTTTTGGAAACAGGGTTGTAAAACCAACAGCCATCTATTGCCTGGAGTCCCTGTTCTCTCTTTCTCTTTGGGCACAAAGGATGTTATTCTCTCTCCTCCCATCACTTAGCATGATGCAGGCATCTGTTAGCTGACATAACAGAGTTGACAGTTAGCATTTCAATCCAAAAAAATGTGGAGTTTTTGCTTGTCTCAGAGAAAGCATGCCTTCACCCTTTCAGTCTGGTAGTTTTAGGAGGAGACCTAACTCACAGTTAGAATTGGCCATGACTAAATTGGGGACCAATGTAGGAAAAAATGTCTTCAATTAATGGCTTTCCCGAATTTTTAATGAATTATTCCTGAATTAAGTGATATATGCTTAGTATTTATACAGGCCTCCAACAGCTCTTGGATTACTTTGATGACAGCAGTGAACCGCTCTTCAGTTTTCTCCACCAGATCTAAACAGTCTTTTGCTATGAAATGAATGTTGTCCGGCTGATCGGGAAGGTGAGCTTTTACAGTCTCATCATTGTCTTGGAACGGAATCTTCACAGCAGTCATAATATAGTCGGGAACAGCAATGGTGTGAAGCCGAATCTGGTCCATATTCTTGTGGGCCTCACTGAATGCCCACCAACCAGAGCTACATACTTCCATGAGACAGGCACAGAATGAATCTGGGTATCTGATATGCTGATGATGAGGTACAACATATTTTACTTCTTTATTTCACTTCTTATGTCTACTGTGTATGACCACTGGCATTATGGCTAACTGATAATTGCAGTGAGCTTGGGAGGGTTCCTCTTTACTGCAAGTAATTTCATATAATTAATTTTATAATAAAGATTATGTAAAATATATTTTCAAAAATTGTAAACATTTGAACTAAGGCTAAATCTGTTCATGCCTCCTCATAGTTCATATGATAGGGTTAACACTTTCTTTTACAGTCCCTGAAGTTCTAGGTATTAACCTGAATCTGTGCAAAAGAAATCAATGATTCTTATTGTGATTTTACTGGGTCCTTACTATGTACTTCAGAATACTATATCTGTGTTTTGTGCCATCATTTTATGCCATATAATTTAGCTGGTACTTGGAAATGTGTCTACTTACCACCTTTTTACTCCTGATAATTATTTTACCTGTATGCCCTTTATCAGCTTAATAACTAGAAGCAGTTTGTAATTTCATTGCAATTCGGTTAAACTGTCTTGGAACTTAGTCACATTATCCAAAATAATTATATAGTATTTTGGAGTTTGTATATCATAGTTACCTTGCTAATTTAAACAAGTGGAAAAGAAAGTGTTACCATGACCGGGGACAAGTTTCCTGTAGAATAATAAGATATTTCTCAATTTCAACACAAGGTGGCATCAATACATGCATTACTTACTGACCGCACCAATTCACAAAAGAAAAAAAACAAATAAGTAAAATTGCATGATATTCTTTAGATGTCCTACCAGATCCAGGATTTCTTAAATGTTTTGAAACAGTGTTGGGCTGTGGTGGATCTAAAATGCTATAAAAGTTAAATCTAATTTTTTTAAACAAAAATGCAAAGGTGTATCATGATGAGTGGTTATTTTTATGTGAACTTCCAATATGTATCCACAGATAAAGAAAGCTAACATCATTTCATTACAGTTATATTATACAATGGGTTGTTCTACATAGTTTGCTTTTTGTTGATTAAACTAACCATACTGAAAAAGCAATTAACATGTACAGTAACATAAATAGACTTTGTACTTTCAGCAAAGGTATCTTTAAAAAAGGTTTCAAGGTGCCTTCAAAATAACTCAGATAAAATGCAGCATGAAATAAACCAATAGCACTTTATTTTATGATTCTGTAGGTACTTAGTATTTAATAGGTAATTACATAGTAGCTAAATGTAAATTCAGGTACAAACTTTCAGGTACAAAAAAAAGTAAATGAAAACCTGTACAGCAGTACTTATTAGGAGTCTGCTATCCAATCTGAGCTTGATGAAGCCCCACAAAATATCGGGTTGTAGGCCATAATAGGGATGTTGTTTCACATGAGTAGGTTTGTGTTTACTTGAAGAACCTCTAGTACACTGTAAAAAAATGGCTCATCAGATCTACTTAAAAATTACTTCATGTAGTAACAAGCAACTGAACTAGTTTTATTCAACTCAAAAAATTACACTGATTACACTACCAAGAATTGTTGTTCATATGCTTCTAAAAGGCACAATATTAGAGTCACCAAACAAGGGATTAAATATAGTAGGTGTTAATCCTTAAACTTAGTAATTGAAAAATACTTTAAAAAATTTGCTTTTCAGGGAACATCTTGAGCAAAGTCAATCGGTTAGCTTTCAAAATTCACAGATGACAGTCTTATCGGTGGCAGCTCAAAGTGCTTTACAGACAGGTGATAAAACATAGTTATAGAAGAGATCATAAGTACTTAATTAGAATCAGAAGAAAATGAAGAAGATTAAATTACAAGATAAATACCACGAGATATTCAGTTTTAGTTAAATGCTAATTTAAAGAGATATGTTTTTAGGTGCTTCTTAAAAGTGAGCACTGAGCTTGACTGTCTAATAAAA